GATGTAATGTGAATCAGCCACATAAGTTTCTTTCCAGATTAATCTCTAACATGCCAAAGCCTCTTTAACTGAAATCATGAAGAGACTCCCTTTTATGAGGAAGTCTGGAAATTTTACTAAAATGAAATCAGGAACAGAAAGGCTTATTTGTAAGGAAAGATGAAGAATGTGAGTTAAAAACAACTTCAAAGTTGAAGCTGAAAAAGGCACAAAAGCAATTTGAAAAATGAAAACTAATCTTGGTTCAAAATGAAAATGTAGAGAAACAAATTTTTAAAAGATAAAGATTTTCCTTCAATGACCATTGCAGAGTTAGAAAATAATATTCCTCCTAACTTTACTAAAAAGTTGTATTATTCAGCATATTAAGAAACTAGACTATAAGCATTAAGAACTATGTTATGATAATTCTACCTTCAGAGCTCTAATGTGTCAGACTTTAGAACTGGAATATCATCTCATGACTAAGTGAATCAATCATAAAAAGAAGTTCCATAATAAGACTGGTTCATTAGGGAGACCATCCAAGAATTTAATTTATTGAGTATCAACACTTTTGTTATATGCATGGCAGGATGCTGATAACTATTGAAGCTGGGTTATGGGCACATGGCGACTTCTTAATACTATTCTGTTTGTATATGCCTGAAATTGTCCATGATAAAAAGTTAAAAAAAAAAACAGAAACAAAAACAAAGAACCATGTTATAAAGCAGCATGGACAAAATAATCCTGGGAAATTTTTGGTGGTTACATACAGTTTTTCACTTGCCCAACTCACGATGTGCTAACTCTGGACACAAACCACTCACGAGATGCTCCATCCTCCCCTCCTTGTTCAGATTCCCAGACATAAACAGTGCTCTAAGAGCCCTTTCTCCTGACAGCAGACATTTACTCGTCTCCAGATACTTTATACAAGTTTTATGTCCCCGTAGCCACTAGTTTCTGGTCACCAAGTTCATAAATTGATCTGGTATGTCCATGAGTAGACTAGATGTTACTAGAACAGAGAAGCTTGGAGGAAGCACAGTTTAGTGGTCAAGAAAACAGGCTCTAATGTCAGACTGAATTATAATTCTGGCTCTACCACTTTTTAGTGAGATGACCTGTAGGTCACTTTGGCTTAAAGATTATGCTCTTCTCAGATGAATTTCTGACTAAGAGTAAGAAGCACCAAAGGTTATCACCCCTATTTTAAATTTTTAAACATTTTACAAACTACTTGATTCTAACAAGCCTATCAACTTTTCAAAATGAAAGACAATGTAACAAGTCCCAAGGTCTGTTCCCTCATTCAACTATGAAATCCATTTCTAATGTGATCCATAAACACACAGTCAAGTACTTCAAGAAGTAGGGGAGAAAAGAAAGCCACGTTGGTTGTACACCATCTTAGATATGTATCCAATTTTCAGTCCATCTGACTAAGAATACTAGAATTCTAGAATACTAGAATACTTCCCCAATATGAAGTAACCCAATGGCTTCAATAAGATAAGAATTAATTTCTCCCTTTATGTGTCTAGTGGTCAGAGGTAATATTTGTCCCCTTTAGGAAACAGTCAGGTTATCTGATTTAATTATTAGTCTCATGACCAATGGGAAAGACCAAAGCCAGAACTGGGCAGAGGGAAAAGGCAGCCTGCCCAGGTATCTCTGCTCTGTTCACCTCCAGCTTGTAGTATTATCAACATTGTTTTTTGAGAAACCATCAATCTTAACAAGCAGAAACCCCATAGAGAACAGTAACAAACTGTTAACAATGTTATCTACAGAAACAAAATCCTAGCTATGCTGTTTATGGTTGTCCTGTCTCCTGAAAGAGCACCAAAGAGGTTCTGTCTCAGACATGGCAGCCAATGCCCACCAGGATGACAGACGGGAGGGCCCTGCTGGGGTAAACACACATTGCCCGCATAATAACATACTACGTATTCTCCCAAGGTCAGGCCAAGTGTGCCAATTAAATTAGATCATGTTTTCTTTCCTTCCTTCCTGTTAAGTCAGAAAGAACATTACCAAGAAACACATGAGAATAATTTATTTTGGCTTTGAATGAACTATTCGCTACCCCCACTCAGTTCAATTTATCTTTTGGCTCTCTACTGAAATGCTTTACTCTGTATAATCTCAGGCATTTCAGTTATTCAAGAACAACAAAAAAGTTAGTTTAGTCTTAACTAGACAGGTTTCACTAGGAAGGATTACAGGCAGACCACAGGGATCAAGACCCCAGCTCTTGGGACAAAGTGAGAGAGTGGCATGGACATATATACACTACCAAATGTAAAACAGATAGCTAGTGGGAAGCAGCCACATAGCACAGAGAGATCAGCTCAGGGCTTTGTGACCACCTAGAGGGGTGGGATAGGGAGGGTGGGAAGGAGACACAAGAGGGAGGAGATATGGGGATATATGTATATGTATAGCTGATTCACTTTGTTATACAGCAGAAACTAACACACCACTGTAAAGCAATTATACTCCAATAAAGATGTTAAAAAAAAAAAAAACTAAGAAGGGAGTATCATTGTCATTAAAGTAAATTTTATGAAGTAAAATGGTGATATAATGCAAATGTAAAATGAACACATGTTAAAGATTTTTATTCAACTCACTACAAGAGTGAACCAGTAAGATAACACAATCAGTTCAAAGAGCCAAAGGACATTTGAAAATGTGTGTGTGTGATATAATTATGTGTGCTTTACAATATAAATGATAAAATTCGTATAAGTATGTAAATAATTAAATGTTAGACTTCTGGGTTGGAAGCAAAACTGGTTAATGTTTTATAGTGCAATAAGCTATAACCTTTGAACTTAAAAAAAAAAAACCCCAGCTCTCTCCACATAATAATAGAATGAGTAAGTCAGCAGAAGCAAAACTTTTATTGAGTTAGGAGTAAAGAGGTACAGTTGAATGGAAAAAAATACACTTTACAAGTGTTTATCCTCTCTTAAATGGGTATCACGACTATCTACAAACTCAGTGGCTGTTATAGATAGAAAAATATCTCAGAAACAAGCCAACGGGTCCAGGCTGGTCTAAACAAACCATAACTTTAGTCCTTTTCCTAGACACTAATCTTTATAATAACAAACCATTTACAGGGACCAAATAAGACCAAAAATGAAACAGAAGCTACAGAGTTTCATCTGAAACAATAGCTTATGTTTTAAAATGTTACAAATACCAAATCCTTCCAATTCAAGACAAGCTTCTCCTTTGCATCCACTTCTTAACCATCATCAACTTAACGGATATAACTGAATTCTGAGTTGTTTGTTTTTAATCTTTTTGCTAGTTTCCTTATACCCACCTCTACCTGATCCCAATGTTTTTGTGTCTTAAAATGAATTTATCTTATAAGAAATCACCAATTAAAAAATATGTTGCACTTTAATTCATAATAGTTAATTTAGCAAGTGCCCCATAATCACAGAACAATAACACAAACCACAGATGGGGGACATGCAACTACCTGATGATGAACAGATACACACCAACAGCGCTGATATTCGTTTACATATAATCACTGAGCTGAGTTTCACAGCAGATCCCAGGGATAGTTTGCCAAAATCCACCAATGAGCATTTCATGGGGAGATGAAAAGACGTGAAATGACAGATTAAATGGCCTCTAGGTGTTGGCCATCACCTACTAGCTTGTGCCACTCAATCGCAGCACACTCAAGTCTTGTCAAGGCTCTTCTAAGACAGCAGTTTTCAGATATAAACGACTGAAGCCCCATCTGCTCACTTCCAAACCGCCACCTTTTACCCGTGGAAATCTTAGAGCTCTAAAGAACTTAGCTGGAAAATCACTTAAACAAAGAGGGAAGCAACAGGTAAAGAGTTGCTGAGATCGCTATTTTGTTTTTCTTGTTTTTCTTTCATTTTGTTTTACTTTTTTTAAAGAAAATTTCTGGCTGATTGCTGCTTGGGTGAGATAGCTGAAGTCTGATTCCAAGTGTCTGGGTAATCTCACTGGATTCCCTACCTATTTCCTTCCAGTCTTCTAACTAGTCTAGAGAGCTGTGGTTTATGTGTCCTTCCTAGCCAGAATCCACTGGCTAAAAGTAAGAAATATGGACTCTGGGAAACAGCTGCTACAAGATGTGACCAGCACGTAACACACAAGCAAATACATGCTGACATGCATAATATTCTCTGGTAGTTGCCACTTTTTGGTTTGAAACTCTAAAAATTAAAGCATAACGATACCTTAAAAGGCTTTTATCTACTAAATCTATTATGAAAAACAGTCTTAAGAAATATGGTCTCTAAGATTTGCAAGAATATACCCTAAACAGTTAATCAATGGTGATCGCTGGGTAGCAGGATTATTAGAGGTTTTTTTCCCCTCTTTTGGCTTATCTGTAGTTTTTATTTTTCTACAATTCATATATTACCTGTGGTTTTTCTTTAAGCCTAATTACTATAATTTACTTATGACTTCTGCCTGCGTTTTGATTGTCAGAATAAAACCGTCTAAATGGTAACCACAGCATTTAGACTTCACAACTTCAGACTTCACAACTTCTCATGAGTCTCCAATACATGCCTAAAGTTTCTTGCCAATCCCATTCTCCCGCTAGAAAGCTTCTGATTATTCTAGAGTTAGTGCAGTAAATGAAAATGCACCAAACTCCATAGAGCAAGTGTCCTGGCAAAGGGCACTCAAACTTCTTACTGGCCAAGTGATTCTGGTACAAAGGTCTACTAGGGTCAGCACGGTTTGGAACAAATGCCAGCACATACTGATCTCAGAGCCAACCAGGGAGTTCAGGCCTACCATGCTGGGCATAGGGATCCTGGGGGCAAACGAGATCCTCAGATTTTTCTCCAGAATAGTCTAGCTAATAATCTAGCTAATGGGACCAATTACTGAAAAATAAAAATGATCCACACTAGGGCAGCTTTTTCTTCACATTAGGAGGCAGAGAGTAGAGCACACCTAGTCACTCTGAGTTAGTATTACCAGATTAAGCTTACCTTTGTGGCCATGGTCTTCACCCCACGAATTTTCCACTCTCCATTTCACGAAAGCACCCTCCTGATCATCCTGCAAAAGAGTGGATGACAGTGTGTAGTCTGAAACTAGATCCGTCCTGATGAGATGTCATGTAATTTTAGCTCTTATTCAGCCACTCAGAAGAAAGAGCCTTCTCTATACAGCAATGATATACATGACCAGGGCCGTATATCTTCCACTATAACCAAAGGGATACTCTAATAGAAGTGGAGTTTGAATCTCTTGGGGTGAAAATGCAATAAACCCAGCAAAGCGATAAATACTATTTTCTTCTTTACATTCTATTGTATACAGAAAATAAGCACATTAAAATGCCTCTTGGCTAAGAAAAACAAAATATTAAATTACTGAAAGCAGTGAACACCATCTGAAGCCAGAGACTCTTGCTTTTAATTAATCAGCATTCTTTGCAGAGGTATCCCACTGTATTTATTTTAGAAATGATTCTAAGACCTAGTCAAGAGTTTAAAAAAGAAAACAAACACATTCTCATCAATACAGCCTACTTTTCTTTCTTAGGGGAACCGAGTAATGACACTCTCCTATGTGTTCTTTTATTGATTCAGTTACACAAATATTGAATTTAATACAATAGAGGTTGAATGGCAAACCAAACACTATTTTCATAAAACAAAACCCAGGCAGTTCCGTTCTCCTTCTATCTTCATTAATAAAATAAGCTCAATTTTCATCTTCTTAAAGGGACAACGATACTCATCATGATAACCTTCATTTATAGTCTTTATTACAGTGACACAGAGAGGGATAAGAAGGCTGCACTTGGGAAAAGGCTGTTCTCTCTCATGTTTACCCAGGGCATTAGCTGATGTCAAAACAACTTAAATCTTGGTAGCATGAGAAGAGAGCTGGCTCCTGAATTATCTCCTAATGATTTCATCTGTCAACTCCCACCTGCATAAAACTGCACGAGTCTCATCTACATGGGATTTGATTTTACTCCTGACAGTCTTCTTGAATCTCAGCAATTTTCAGTCTCAGAAATAGCCAACAATCAAACCCACAAGTTTCAAACACCCTTATCTGTACTACCTACCCCTTAATCTTAGCCCCAGGTACCTTTAAAACCACATCAATAAACTATACATTCTGGGGCTAGCTTTATTAAATGTTTTGGTTTTCTACTCCCTGCATTATAGTCCATCTTTACTTTCCTTTTAAATATAACTGTTAGAATCTATATCACCTAAAGTCATTTATTATAGTAAGTTTCAAAATGTTTCTTCTTTCCTTTGCCAATGAATTCATGCATGACCTAGATCAAGCCATGTCATCTATAAATATAGAATAATATCTGGACCTCCCTCAGAGGGATTCCAAGAAACCCGAAACAAGAAAGAATATCCCAGAATACTTACTAGCATTTATCTCTGCATTATCATTCAAATGCAGTGCAAACTAGTTATGCAGTGGTCAAAAACTCAAAGTAGAAGGAAGAGAAAAATCTCAATATAAAATTCCAGTTATGATAGTATTGATTCTGCTTTATAATATTTACAGGTAATGTAGCTCTGTTTCCCAGAGGGGAAAAAAAAGCATATTAATAAACCATGCCAATGAAAGAATGGAAGTTCCAGAGAAAATGACATGGAGTATGTATGATTTTTATTTCTGAAAAACAGGAATACTCTATAATAGAGATGGAAAATGATAAAACCCAAAACTCTCTTGGAAATTACAAGGTTTTTAGTTTGTTTTCCGTTTTAATAATCCTCTTAATAGTTTAAAAGTTTAACTTTAAGGAGCTTTAGTTATAAATCCACTGAATTTTATAATATAGGAGGTCCAAACATAAATATGAACAACTTAATATTAATAATATTTTATTCTAAGTATTTTAGTAGTATTTTATTCTAGTTTATTTACTATAGAATTTTATTTCATTATTTACAGTATTTTATGAGAAGTTCCTTCTAATATTTTGCTTCTAAGGTCAAGGTAGTTATTCTGTGACTTTCTTTCCAATTAGGCTAGGAAAAGAACACTTCTGCTTGCAGTGGTAAAGAACTAAAGTATTTTCAAGTCTTCTCTTCTTTATGATCCCTGAGCACAGGAGTAAATATCTATTCTACAGCCTAGAAATGGGACGGCTTATTTGTGAAATAAAACTGCAGTTGTTGTTTCCAACACTGTGTCTTAGAAACAATGATATTACTAGTCAGAGTATTTCATAGGAAATTCAACATACTTTTTACATCCAATTTCCTGAAGCTCTGCATAAATCCAGTAATGGGCATGGAGTCTACAAATTACTGTTATTGACATTTTACTGCAGAAGAATCTGAATGACAAATGAAAGGAAGGTGAGTCTGAACATAAGTCATCAAGATATGAACACTTTCACGGTACATTTTAATTCCTTATTAAACTGAAGTTATCCTCTCCCAAGTTCCCTTGCTGACCTCTTTTCACACCAAGAATTTCCAAAGTTACAGAAAAGCAGTTACTTCCTTACTCCCTGCTGACACAAATTCTGCTCCTCATGGAAAGTTTCTATTTTTATTACTTCTGAGCATCCAGCCAAACCCCAAGTGAGGCAGGTACAATGTCTTGCTAACTTTTAACAGAAATCATATACACTATGAAGAAGCTCTGCTGGAATAAACGGTCTGCAGGAGCATGTAGATCCATCTATGCAAACACTGGAGTGGGCACGCTGAGGGTCATACCTTTTCTGAGACAGCAGTGAAGGTCATGGCGTGGGTCATAAGAGACTCACCAAAAGTCAGCCTCTCAGCTTTATTCATGTTCTTCATGGAGACACCAAACACTAACTCATGGTCATAGCTGTAAAAGAGAACAATAGCACAGAATATACAGAGTACAATCATGGGGGATAATTGGCTTCTGGTTGTAAAAGGATCATAGAAGAACCTGAAGGGGCTTTGCAGCTCCAGATATATCTGGGCTGTAGCTCTTTAGAGAACGTGGTACATGCAAAATTTAGTCTCTCAATGGGATTCCATTCTCTCTGTGTCACAAGAGTACTCAGAAAAATACAAAGTTATTAAACATAAATTCCCCAAATCAAAAAGCTGACAAGATAAGCTTGCATTGTCATTTTGGCAAGAAAACTTAAAAGTTTCTGAAGTAATTTCTTTCAAAAATGGTCTCTTTTGAGCCGGCAGAAGCACTCAGTTTCTGAATTCATTTAGACCACTGCTAACTGTGAAATTTAAATAGAGTGTCAAAATATTGGAGAATATTTTCAAAGTTTAAAGAACCTCATGAATTCTCTCTTTTAGCAGATTTCCTTTCTCCTGTTGTTAACTGTCAAGATATTTACTCAATTTCCTACAAGTAATAATTACTTACAAGTAACACTAAAGTGATATATTTTAACAGTCAAGGAAGTTGAATGATTCAGTTCACAAATCAATCTTCATTGTCATAAACAAACAGGAGGAATGCTTTAAAGTATGTATGCATATTAGTCCTAGTTGTCATAAAGACAAAATACATAAGGTATCAAAGCAATAGAAGTAGTTAAGAAGGCTCAAATAGCAAACAAGAGATCTGGAAAACCTTTAATTATAACCCCAAACGCACTAAGCAGATTTACACAGTAATCAGTTACTATTATTTTTATAACCTTTCGTAATCCAACTTTTTTTTTCTTTTTTTTGGCTGTGTTGGGTTTTCATTGCTGCGTGCAGGCTTTCTCTAGTTGTGGCGAGCTGGGGCTACTCTTCATTGTGGTGCGCGGGCTTTTCATTGCAGTGGCCTCTCTTGTTGCGGAGCACGGGCTCTAGGCACGCGGGCTTCAGCAGTTGTGGCGCACAGGCTTAGTTGCTCTGTGGCATGTGGGATCTTCCCGGACCAGGGATCGAACCTGTGTCCCTGGCATTGGCAGGTGGATTCTTAACCACTGTGCCACTAGGGAAGTCCCAGTAATCCAACTTTTAAGTTGCCTTTTTTAAAAAAAATATTTATTTATTTGGCTGCACCAGGTCTTAGTTGCGGCACACAGGATCTTCATTGCCTCATGCAGGATCTTTAGTTGCAGCATGTGGGATCTTTTAGTTGCATCATGTGAACTCTTAGCTGCAGCATGTGGGATATAGTTCCCTGACCAGGGATTGAACCCGGGCCTCCTGCATTGGGAGCGTGGAGTCTTAGCCACTGGACCACCCATGGAAGTCCCTTAAGTTGTCTTTTAAAAAGTAAGTGTACAAAAATAAAGACAAAAAGTATGTGGTATCTTTGATAAATACTTGGTATCAAATACTTGGCATCACATTGATTGTATCTTTTACATATTACTTTGAGTGTTACATTATTTTTTTTTTATATCAAAACAAATTTTTTTTTAAGTGTCTTTCTCATGTAGGATGACTTTTTAGGAACATCCAACAATTTCAACTCAGATATGAAGTATGATCTTGACTTCCCAGGTTAGAGTTAAATATGTGGAGTTTCTGCTATGAATCCTCAAACTCTACAAAATAGAAAGAAACAGACCCACCCTCAAGCCAACCTTAATCTTTGAGTGAACCTGAGCTGAGTCACTTCGCACCAAGAGTGCACTCCAACAGTCACAACCCACAAATGATTTTCTATTTTAAATTTCTTGCACTCACACATTCGTGTCACTGAGGCCCAACTTGCCACTGAAGTGTTTTCCAACATCACAGCCAAACCATACAGCCTAGAAATAGAGGAAAGAAGAAGAAAGAAGTCAACATAAGTTCTTCCTATTACACCAAAGAAGTTGGAAGAAAAGGTTTTAACCCCTATGCAGAAGACAAAGAAACAATACCAACCTCTCCATCTTTGATGGAGGCAGCAACCATCTTTTTCAATAAGTCAATGGGCTGGTTGTTATATAGAGTTTTCCTCCCTCCAACCATGTTGCTTAAGTAGTCCACCGTGTAAAGTTTGCTGTACTTGTGGTGGGGCCGAGGGTCATTCACTAAACAAATCTATTGAGATCAAGAACATGTTGATTAGAACATAAAACCAGGAGTGTCAAGCAAGATACAGACCTCTCCTTTAAGTTCATATATTTGTTATCAAGCGTAGCACCTCTGCCTACAAGAACAAGCATTACACATTGTTAAATGAGAAACAAAAGGTGGCAAGGTCATGTGAGAGAGGTCCCTGTATATTCTAATTAGTATAAGGGACATATTTGGGAGTTGCAACAACCTGTTTCTCCTACTGGCAGGAATCACCCCAAAACTAATTCTGCAGAATTGTGTGCACTGAGTAAGGCAAGATGGCAATTCACAAGTCCATCACTACAAGACCTCTGCTCTCAAGTTACCAGAAAGGCTCAACATCTGGCAGTACCACAACTGAGTTGGGACTCCAATCAAAACAACGCCATGTGCTTTTAAGACGGTCAAGATGCCAATGAAGAAGGGGCTCTAGTCATCTTGCTAGGTAGGTGGAGAAGCCCTGAAGTGAGCGGGAAAAACGAGGATGGGACACTGCTCCCTTCTGCAAGAGAGTCCTGAGAGGGGCCCACAGTAGAGTGATGCTCTGAACCCATGGTAAGAAACACCCAGTATACTTTTATTGTCTTCACACCTGAGAATGACTCAGGGCCCAAATCAGGGGAGCATATGGGAATTAAACTGACTGCTGGCCCATAGTTAGAAAAGTCTCTGAAGAGGAGCACTGGGGATCCTAATAAGACCAACTGAATTGGTACATAAAATACCTCAGAGGAAGGAGGAAAAATTGTGTTTAGTGTCTAGTTTGATGACCATGCATGGTAACCCAGGAATCGTGTATTCTTTCTTGTAGTCAACAGGCATTTGAAAGTAAACAGCCAGTGGCTGCCAGTGCCAGTCTCCAACCTTATCTTCCATATTGAAGAGTGGCTTGACATGTTCCTTGTAAAACTTCAAAGGTGTTATGGGGCCAATCTTCTGATAGTTTTTATCTTTGTCTCGATACTCCCAGGTAAACGTCTCTGGTGGATTACCCAAACAGATGCACACCACTCTGAATATCTGGAAAAAAGGAGGACAGATGAGCGATGGCTAGGGAGAAGCAGTATTTTTTACCTCTTCATTTTCTTCTAGCTTGGGAAACACAAGAAATCAGTGGCTAAATTCAAGCCAGAAATTTCACAGGAAATCTAATATTGCTCCAAAAATTGGAAGGTTGATGTCCAGGACTTGATATCAGCTAACTTCTGAGTTCTTAAATAAACACTGTGAACAATACAATTCTGAAATGTTAATATTTAGTGCTTAGTATTTGCCCTGCAAGTTAAACTTCCTTAGCCAAGAAATCACTCACTACTGATACACAACAAGACCTGGGCTGCTGCTCTGCTGATTATATTTCTTATTTTTTTTAATTTTTTTTTTTTTCCGGTACGCGGGCCTCTCACTGTTGTGGCCTCTCCCGTTACGGAGCACAGGCTCCGACGCGCAGGCTCAGCGGCCATGGCTCACGGGCCCAGCCGCTCCGCGGCATGTGGGATCTTCCCGGACCGGGGCACAAACCTGCGTCCCCTGCATCGGCAGGCGGACTCTCAACCACTGCGCCACCAGGGAAGCCCTGCTGATTATATTTCAAGTGACAAATAATTACATACATTTTATGGATTTCCTTCCCTTTATGCTTCTAGGTTTTGCTTTGATTGTGACAGGGGTCTCTACTCACAGAAAAGTCATTAACTTTTTGGTGGAGCTTAGATGACAATGTCTATTAAAATTATTATTAGAACAAGACTAAATTTAGTAGTAAGGTACCAGTTTTTGGGTTGTGAGACCTAAACATACTATCCAGTGATGTCATAAAACCTTCAATTAGCATTATTACAATCCAAGGATATTTCAATATTTTATATTATTTTCATCTTATAGAAAGACAAAAATAGAAGTACAGAGACATACCTTCCTCTTCTGTATCAAATTTGCTTTGTCTTTTAAAAAATACACACTACGATCTGCTTCTTCTTTCTCCACCCCAGGCACCACCCTAATCCAATCTTATTACCTGTATTATTTGCTCCATACATTTGTATTGATATACTCCAATACAGTCAAAAGAAACGGATCCTGTATTTATTAAGTGTGACTATTTTGTGCTAGATACTATATATCTGCTAGGTTAACTTAATTCTCACAGAACTCTCTCAAGGCATAATTTCCCCTCCTTTTTCTTTTCTTCCCCCAAAAGAGATTGAGACTCAAAGAAACTAAGTAACCTACTTAAGATCACATAGCTAGTAACTGGCAGAACCATGGTCTAAACTGAAGTCACAAACTGCCCAAAAAAAAAAAGTATTGCTCCATTGGTACAGGGTTTAAAACAAAAAAGGGAACATTTATTGACTGTTTTCTGTGCTGTACTACAATTTTTAAATATCATATCTCTCAATCCTCTAAAAAAAATGGTAGGTATTATTCACATTTTACAGATACGGAAACCAAGGCTCAGGGAAATAAAGAGCTTGACTGAAGTCCTAAAGCCAATAAATCACAAAATTAGGATTTGAACCCAGGTCTGACCTCAGCACTATTTCTATAAGACCATGAATTAAGCATTTATCGTTTACTGTAACTTTCTGAGTTTCCTATAACCTGTCTCTTACAAAAGGTCATAAACTTCTCAAGGATAAGGACCAGGTCATGGATATTTTGTATCTCCTATAGCGTCTAGCACTATGTCTGACCTAGATATGATAAATGATGTGAACACTGTTCCACTCTCCACCACAGGATGAATAATTTCAGAAGTACCACCCTTTCTTCAAGTCACTTCTTTGTTGAAGATTCAATAATGCTTTCCTATTACCTCCCATAACAAATCTAAACTCCATGGCCTGATCTACTTGTCTTCTTTTTTTTACTTCGGCATAACATACATTCAACAGGTATGCAAAGTGCACTAATCTTACATATACAGCTCAGTTCAATTTTTTACATAGGTATACACCCATGTAACCACCATTCAAATCAATATACAGAATATTTCCAGGGTCCCAAAGGTTCCCTAGCTCCCTTCTAATCAATAACCACACCTTCCCCAAGGTAAGCATCATTTTTTTTGTTTCAGCATCATTTTGGCTTATATAACCACTGATTATTTTTGCCTGTTCTTTAATTTCATATAAATGGAATCACACAGCATATTCTTTGCTGTGTATGGCAACCTTTGTTGACATAATGCCTGTAAGATTCACTCATGGTGCTGTGGGTATCACTAATTTGTCTTTACTGCTGTGTGAATATATTATAATTTATTCACTTGTGTTGGTGGACATGTGAGTTGTTTTCAGTGTAGGGTTATCTATAAAGCAGCTAAGAATATTTTTATCCAAACGGTTTTCCAGGGGCTTGAAGGAATTTACATACTCTCCAGCAAAGGAAGAGAGTTCCAGTTGTTCTATCAATACATTCTTGCCAAGCCTGGCACTGTATTTTTAATTTTAGCCATTTTGGTGGGTAAGTAATGGTATCCCCAATGTGGTTTTAGCTTGCATTTCTCTGATGAACACGGTTGGATTTTAAAGGCTCTCTGTAACTTCACCCAACCTTATTTCCCATCACGGAGCCTGCTCACCCGTCAGGCCTGTCTATGTCTCTCCTTACCGTCCACTCAATGCACTCAGCTCGTTGTCACCTTCATAACTTTACTGTCTCTTCTGTTCCTCAAAACCCAATCCTACTCCCATGCTATAAAACTCAGTGCAGGGAATTCCCTGGCGGTTCAGTGGTTAAGACTCCACACTTTCACTGCCGAGGGCCCGAGTTCGATCCCTGGTCAGAGGAGTAAGACCCCACAAGCCATGTGGCACAGCCAAAAAACAAAAAAAAAAAGCTCAGTGCAGGATGACCCTTTTCCAGAAAGTTTTCACTAATTAAATTTTTATGTCAGAAGTATTCAGAGAAGGGAGAAATTAGTGTGAGCTAGAAAAATTAACATTTGATTCCATAGTGTCATTTGTGTTTCTCTACTGTCTCCCCTGCTAGACTTAACCTACCAGGGACAGAAAGTAGACCTTGGACGTATCCCAACAAACACTAGAAGAACCACATTAAAAACAGTTTTCTTAAATTGAAAGTTCTCCTCCAGTGACTGGTGTAAAACTTAAATTTAGGAGTTCAAACTGGGCAGACCCTAAAAGCAGAACAAAAGGGAAGGCTTAGAGAATAAAACAAAGCTATAGCCTGCAAGAAATAAACCTTTCCTTCCCCTCCTCTCCTTGGACCCCAACTCTGGAGAACTCTGCTGTCCTTAGCCTGATAGACCCCACCTCTTCCCTCACTTTACCCTCCACTCCCTTCAGAAATGTTGGCTCCTGCCTCTGCTCTAGAAAGAATCACCAGAGAATGATCTATGACGGCCTGATTTCTTAATACGCCCAACCCCACCACTTTCAGCCAGAAAGACCACTTAAGGAGCTTAGTTTTTGACACTCCTTAGCTGTACATTAGTAGTTGTTTTGAGTAGCCAGGACTTCTCCAGACTGACCTTTAGGTAAATTCATTAGATACCCCAGTCCCTATCGGGCTTTAGGGAACACACGTCCAAGATCCCCCAATTCTAAATCGGCATCCATATGTTACCATCAGCCACTGAAATTGTATTTATTTCTCTTCATCAACTCCAGTGCATTCATTCTAGGCCTCAAAAAGCCTTGGGACAGACTGGAACCTGATACCAAGACTCAAACTTATTCTCTGAACCAAAGCTAGAAAACTAGATGTAGGTCTGCCTATGACATTAGGCCTATAATTAAGGATAAAAAGACTCTTAATTCATGTGTTATTTTGGAAGACAGAGCCTGACTCTACCATCTTAACAGAAACAGATTAGCCTACAGATGAAGTTATGTTTGCCTTTCATTTTATGTTTTGTTTCCCAAGAGAGAATCTTCCTTTACTAGGATTTACTTTGTGTTTTATGAGCCTGAACAGCTGCTCCTTAAACCACCTCTCTTTTTTTTTTTTTTTTTTGCGGTACGCGGGCCTCTCACCGCTGTGGCCTCTCCCGTTGTGGAGCACAGGCTCTGGACGCACAGGCTCAGCAGCCATGGCTCACGGGCCCAGCTGCTCCACGGCATGTGGGATCTTCCCGGACCAGGGCACGAATCCGTGTCCCCTGCATCGGCAGGCGGACTCTCAACCACTGAGCCACCAGGGAAGCCCCACCTCTCTTCTAATGTTGTATCATTCTCAGGTTGGTTTCTAGTACAGAAAAGCAGCAGCAGGGCATCACATCAGCAATTGTAATTGAGCTAATCTAGCCAAGGACTAATGAGCTCTGTCTGGGATTCATAAGGACCAGAGAGTCGTTTTGTATTTGCTCAGCACCAAGGCCACAAATGGCACCTTTCATCATGAGGACGCTGCCACTGGTAACTAAAGACAATGACAGTGAAAGTATATAATCAGAACATGTTTAAATAAGGAAGGTTTTATAGACTTAAATGATGTGTATTTTTAACTAGTAATCATTGTCACATGTGTATGAACATTTTATATGGGGTCATCTTGATTAATTCTCAGTCACCCAAGGGTGGTTTATCCAGTTCAGTTAGGCTCTGGCCAAAAAAAGGAGGCTAGGGCTAGGCCTAATGAAGATTTAAGACAACTAAGTGAATTTCTGTTTACTTTTAAACACATTCTAAATATAAATGAGTGTTTTACACTATAATTTACATATACCTCATTATGCATTTGACTCCCTATCTAAAGTAAAGTGTTAAATCATTCCTTCCTTCTCCCCAAAAATGCATTAAAGGAAACCTGCATTTTAGTTATCTAAATGAATTCTATGATTAATCTTTTTGGAATACAAATACTTATGCCCTACTGCATATGATTTATAAATCTGAAGTTTTATCAAAGGTGCACATAAGGCATGAATGAGGATAAGGGTGACATCTCTTTCTCTTGGATGTTAGTAAAACTGTAATTTGAGACATGTTGCTTTGTTTACCATGATTATAATTATCGAAAGCCATTCAGATTCAAGTCAGTTTATAACACTCTGGAAGGAATATTTGGCTCCAAGTCAACTAACAA